CATTCTGATTCTTGGCCAAGACCTGCATCCTCATTGAAAAGATGCTGTGCATGGATCTATGAGGTTGAGGCATTAAGGGACTAATGTGCGTCCTGCAGTTAACAATCAATGATTGATGACTGTCCGAGTATAAACATTCTAAGTTTCATGTGTCTTTCCCAAGATTTTTTGAGGGATGTACTATCTTTTACTGTTGTTGTGAGTTCACTGTGACTAATAGCAATCCTATGAATGACAGATCTGAATTCTGCCATATTCCATGCCATCTTCACTATTTCTGATATACTTGAACCCACTGCTACAGTAATCACGTGAATCCATTCTGTTATAGGTCTTTCTCTCTTGCACTGGTACTCCACCATTTCAAACCTGATGGCCTTCTTCAAGGACTGGTCACTCCTAAAAATGTGCCCAACATATGTGAGGTGAAGTTTCAACATCCTGGCTTCCAAAGAGCACTCTGGTTTCACTTTCTCCAAGATTGACATGTTTATTTTCTTGGCAGCCCATGATATATTCCATATTCTTCCTTAACACAATTCAAAGACATCGGTTCTTCATCTGTCATCCTGAGTAAATGTCCAACTTTCAGACGCATAGCAATTAAGTGAGAAGATCATGGCTTACATCAGGTGCATCTTAATTTTAAAACCGACATCACTGCTAGTTAGCACTTTGGAGACATTGCTGTCTCTGACAGCAGATTTTCCCGATGCTACATGATTTCTTGATTGCTGGTACCAAGAGTGTTGATTGTGGATCCAAGCAAGATGAAATTGTTGACAACTTTAATCTCTTCTATATCAGTCATAACACTATCAATTGGCCGGTGTGTGTGTGTGTGTGTGTGTGTGTGTGTGTGTGTGTGTTTAATTTATTTTCTTGATGCTGAGATTGGAGTGCATATAATACTGCCTGTCTTCCCGTTCTGCTGTAACATCATCTTCTTTATCTTGTTTCCTTTAAATTCCTCACAAAGTGCTGTTATTGAATACTGGCTCAGAGTCGGCCTTGGGGGAACTCAGTGAAATCCTACTCAGACTCAAGAACAAAAGTGGCAAAACTTTTTTTTTAAAAAAAATTATATTTGGATGAAAGTTTATAGAGAACATTGATTTCCACCCATTCATTGTTGTACATTTTCCTCCCGACCCACCCCCACCCCCAGTTTGCTTTCCTTTTTGAAAAAAGATTCTTTTCTTTCATTGTTGAACAATCTGCCCACCCTGCCCCTCCAGTCCACTTTACTATGTACCTCTTATTCTTGACTGCTGTCATGCAAATAATACCTAATGATATATTCCTTTTAAACAGTTCTTTCCCATATCTGTTTGAATGCAGTGCACATTTTTTATCCTCTCTTTTATTAGTTCTCCCCCAACCCCCATATCACTCCTGTTTTACAACAGTGGCATTATGCAGTATTTGTCCCTTTGTGACTGAGATATTTCACTCAGCATAATGTCCTCCAGGGTGACCAATTTTATATAATATTTTATGAGTCCCTTGTTTTTCAACGCAGCATAGTACTCCATTGTGTGAATATACCACAGCTTTTCTATTTGTTTGTAGACAGGCACTTAGGTTGTTTCAATTTCTTTGCTATTGTGAACAATACAACAATAAACATGTCTGCATATATCTGTTTGGGTGGCAGTTCTGAGTGACAAAACTCTTGGTCTGCTTTCTTAGATAATAAAGAAAATCAGACTGAGTATAGGAGATAGAGGGAGGTAAATGGGTTTAATAAGTTAGGGTTTTAAAGTCTAGGTTACCAAATTCCTGATGTAATCTTTGTTTTCAAAGATGAAATAATCAAAAGGATATTTACAGTGGTGCTGTATTGGGAGGGTGGGGAGAGTATAGGAAAGGGAGCCAATTTAGAAAGAGTTAAGAGGGGAGGGGTGGGCGGGGAGAAAAGTGCAACAATGAATGAATGGAAAGCCAAAGTCTCTGTACATTTTCATTAAAATTAATAATAATAAAAATATATTAATAAACAAAGAGTTAAAACAGACTCACCACCCTCAACTCATTGCCATCTAGTCAGAATCCATATTTTTAATTTTTTTTATTTTAGCAAGTTCTTTTTTTAAATTTATTTTATTTCATTATTTTTTGTGTGTACTGTCAAATCAGATCTGACTGGTACAGGAGGAGATTGTTCCTCCTTCTCCAGCAGAGCATCCAGAATCCATTTTTCAGAGGCTGTAAATCGCACAAGAGGTGATACTGCCCTTATTTTTCCTTTAGAGTCTCCGGTGTAACTCTGATGCGACCTATGCTCTGCTCTCTGAGCCCCCTTAAAACAGACTCAAATTTACATTTTAGTTATTTATTATTTATTTTGCCATTGAGTTAGACTCCATGACTCATAGCTGACCGTCCAGTAGGTTTTCAGAGGTTGTAAAACACACTGGAGGAGATTAATCTCTTTCTCCCCTGGATCCAGGGGTGATTAGCAGTGCAACACTCTAAGTAAGGCCTATCCCACCAGAGCTGTCCTAAAACAGATTGTTGTTGTTGATTGCCATCGAGTTGAGCACGGCTTATAGTGACCCTATGAACAAAATACCTGAAGCCTTTCTATAATTGTTGTCATTTCTCAAAGGTCATAGAGTTTCCAGAGGCATGTTGTTTAGGAAGTGGATGCCACTCCTGCTTCCAAAACAGGCTAGTTACGATACATTGAGGAGTGTCACAGTGGAGTGACAACAAGAATAAAAACAAACGGAGAGGAAAAAATGTGAACAGAAGAAAAAAAATGCTAGGAATTAGTGTCTTGCTTTGCAAGCAAGGGTGGGAAAAGAAAATTTTTTAAAAACAGTTTGAGGCTGTTTGAGTTAGAAAGCAGCAGTAGCATTAACAGAGATGTTGCAACTATGAGTGGGATCTGGATTTGATGAACTAAAGACAATGTTGAGTTTATGCCAGTGGAAAGTCTAAGTAGAAATGTTTAGCAGACAGCTGGAAATAAAAGAAGGCAGGCAAGATTTGGTTTCAGAGCTTGTGGTCTTTCAGACTGTGATAACCTGACTATTTTGAAAATGCACAAACAGCAATTACTCTCTACAAGACTTATATCCCTGACTTGAGATTCAAAGCAGAAAGAGGAACCTCGTATTTTAGACATGTGTGACGTGAAGAAGCCACTCAGTGTGCAGGGGGCCAGAAGGTTTTGGGAAGAAAGCCAAGTTCTAAGTTTGAACACTTCTGGTTTGTGAGGACCTTACAGTTATAGGAAAGACACAGTCAAGGTGAAGGAGTTTGGCAGAATTTAGGAACAAAGGGCAGGCTTGAAATTCTGAAGAATGGTATTTGGTTCAAAGACCAGCAACCTCTAACAGAGTCCTCAGACTCGAAGGACCACTTCTCCCTGTTTGCGTTCTGTCTGGTCTGACACTCAGAAGGATGTTATTAAGGTATCTGCCTCTTAGTTCTTCTTCAGACTAAATAAACCTTATTGAATTCTTCTCACAGGTCATATTTTCCATTTCTTTAATTATTTGTTACACTTCTCTGAACACTCCACTTTTCCTTCTCTTAAAAACAAACCCAAACAAAAAACACAACACCAACAAACTCCAACCAACTTCAAAACAGCAACGATTGGCTTAGTTTTGGGAACAGGAAATAATTTTGTTTCTAAAATGCCACACTTCAGGCAATATTTCTTTGAAGGATTTCCTACTTGTTTCTAATGCTTTCATTTAATGCTCATCTTGATTTACTGCTAAATTAAAAAAAATGTTTATCTGGAACATCCTAATAATGTCTTAATAATTTTCTGTTTTAGTTTTAAAGGGTTAGCCTTAGATGAAGTGCTGACTCACTGCTTTTCTTTACCGTTTTAGGAACATAAATAGAGGTGGAAGATACTAGAACTCTATCTTCCTCTCACAAACTAAGATATGAAATGAGACAAAACTATTTCCCCTACCCATCCCAACAGATCAGACTCTGACGAAAATGTGGGATATTTAGAACTGGGGAAAAAATGGAATTTGGTTAGTTAGACATGAGTCAAAATTGGAAGCTGAAGAGGACGTTCCGAGGAGCCAAGGGATCGCTCGGACAACATCTCTGGGAGGAATTTTCCATGTGGACTGGAGAAAGCTTGTAAGGCACAGCCCCAGGTTAAACACGCTGCGTTCCAATTCTGCAGGCTTTACAAGTCTTATTACGAGACACCGTCTGTGACTCTCTCGACGCAGGCGAGGGAGGTGGTCATGTTCATCAAACAATAAACATTTTCGGCTTATAGAGTAAAACAAGAATAAAACACACGGCTTGTCCTTTTCCTGGGCGAAGAAACTGGGTGGAATTGACAGTGGTCGACCCATTTCCATGACTTAAATCTGACAAGGTCCCGTTCCACCAAGACTGTGGAGGGCTCTTTTGGTTACCTCTGACTGGAGGGTCATATGTAAGTCCAGAGCAGATTCTCATCAGCTTCCCGTCCAGGTTGCTGGCAGCCTCTGATGCGGGGCTGCAGAGAGGAAGGGAGGACCGCCCGCCGCCGGCTGCTCCTCCCCTCTCCCAGGCCCACTCCCAAGCCTGCTCCAGCCGGAGAGGCCTGCGTGAGCTTCTCCACGTAGCGCCAGACAGCTCCTTAAATAGGGTTCGAGCTGCGCAAACCGCACCCCCCAGCCGTGAGGCTGCAGAGGGTGAGCGGAAGCGATCGCGGGGCGCCAGGGGACGCGGTGGGTCAGCCTGCGGCCAATAGCCCGGGCGCGGCCCGCCCCGTCACCGCCCCCGCCCCGGGGAGCCTATAAGGCGCCAGCCGCGCCGGGGCGTCCTCACCGCTGCCCCTCGCTCCGCGCGTCCTTCGCTTCTCGCGCCCCCGGGTCTGCCAGTTCTCACCGCAATCTCCAGCCCCTCGGCCGACAAGGGGGTCCCCTTGTTCTCGCGAGAAGTGCTCTGCTGCTGGGGGTGCCAAAGTCCGAGCAGACCCTGGGGTCCCCAGAATGGAGAGGTACGAGAGGAGATTCCTGCTGCTCCTGCTGGCGCTGGTCCTTTGCCCCGGGAACCCCTGCCTGGGCGCCGACTCGGACAATCCCTCCTGGATCCCACCAGGTAAGCGCTCCCGGCGTCGGTCCCAACCTGGGAGCCTCTGCTGGTGGTTCATTTTCTCACCACCTCACGCCCGGCCTTGGGCAGGTGAGCACTCGGGGGCCTTCGCCTCCCGTGCTGCTGAGGTTGTCTCCCGGGAGTGCGCTTGGGGTGTGCAGGTCCCCGGAAACGTGTTGGAGCAACCATCCTACTAGATCGCTCTCCTTTTCTCCCTTATAATACACCGGAGTTGCCTCTTGAAGTTGCCAGGTCCTAATACCAGCACATTTCCTGCAGATCTCCTTTCCTGGGGTTCTCTCGATAGTCCCTGTTGGACGAGGCACCACTCCCCCTCTGGCTGAAACACGGGACTCAGTGTACTTTCTGATTGATGGTGACACATTCCTTCCAGCGCCCCAGCAAGCAGCCCCGTTACACCTACCTCGTGCCAAAACCCGGCACTCAAAACCTTGGTTGTTTTCAGGAAGGCGACCTGGCTACGCACTACCCCCAGGTGGCAGCTTTCCTCCGGTGGGACTCCGAGGGGAAGTTGTGAACACAGCTTCTCTCCTTATTCACTTTTTTCTAAACTTGGTCCCATTTCTTCTTGGCACAAGCCAGAACTGCCGCAAAGAGTCTAGTAAAGTTCATGTAAAACATTACTTTTTGTTGTTGTTTTACACTTCCCAGAATACCATGTCTGTCAAAACATACTTTTGTGCCACTTGCTGCACTTTGAGAAATCCGTGGAGGTTCTTGGGCTAATTGTGCTCAACTCCCTGAAACCTGATCTTTCATTGAAATGCCCTTCAGTTCTACTTTAAATGACCAGCATTTAGGCACTTTTCTGTTTGAACATTATTAAATCTCAAAACAGGGATTTCTATTTCAGCATTATCTTTAGAGAGTGCTGTTTGGTGGAGAGAGCAGCCACTCCAATTACGATTGGTTCTGTCTCTAAGAAGACAATAAAGGCCTGAACTGCCTATCCTTGTCCATTCCTGCCAAACAGTGCCTGCCTTGTTAACTCGAGAAACCTGTCCTGAGATGGATTTTTTTTTTTTCAGTTTTACACCACTTTTCATTTTGTCAGGTGTATGTGATGGCTTGAAAATAGATTTCTAAGGCCTGTTTGGTTGCTCTAAATTTAATGGAATACTTTCATAATTTAAGATTTTTCTCTTGTGTAAAACTATAAAATTAAAAGACAAATGCCTTAAAGTTGGAAATGGAGACATTAAAATAAAAGCAAAAAAAAAAAACCACCTAAAAAATTTTATCTTTGCTAAAACACTCGGGAAGGTTATTAAAAAAAGAAAATAAAGTTTTACTTTTAGGGAATCCTGTTGTTACTTTTGTTGTAGTTGTTATTGATTGCCTTCTAGTCAAGCACGGCTCAGCGATCCTATGAACAAAAGGCCTGAAGCCCCTCTACAACTATCGACATTTATCAAAGTTCATAAAGTTTCCGGAGGCATGTTATTTAGGAAGTGGATGCCACTTCTGCTTCCAAGTTGTTACTGTTTTAGGAACCAATTCAACGTTTGCATATTTCATTGTCAGATTATATTTCACTAATGTCACTTGATTACCAACACGCTTTGCTCTTTATAGAAACCACCCAACTTTGTCATTGCCTGACACTTTATAGTCAAATCACCTGCCTTTTGCATTCTGGCTTTTACTTCATGGAACTGTACAGTAAAGTTTTAATGGATTACAACATAAGAGAAAAAGAATTTCAGTTACGAATGCGTTTTCAGAAAATATCACATAGAAGCCATTTTTGAAATAATTTTTCTTAGTGGAGTTGGGAAATGCATGTCCCTCTAAAATGCAGGAAAAGATTATTTTGTAACAGCTGGAGCCAACAGTACTTAGTTTAATTATGAGAATTTTAGAGGTCAGTGTTCTGTCAGGTTATGTGACAAGCAATACCTATGTATTCCGTTCCCTCACTAAAATATTAAAATGAAATATAACTAAAGAGGAAATTTAGTTATCACTGTAAATATCAAGCTCTTCTCAGTACTCTTTTAAGTTGTTTTAACTTAACAGCAGTTCTAAGTGAAAAATATCTATAATATGTAAATCCCCTGTGCATTGTTAAATCCAGGCTAGTTGCATGGAAATGGATTAGACCGTGGTTTCTTGGTCTCATTGATACTTTTGGCCAGGCAATTTTTTGTCTGGTAGGGTTGAGGGATGGCTATTAGCAGTATCTTTGGCCTCTACTCCCAAAATTTAAGTAATAACCTCCCCATCCTCAGATATTACACTCCTAAAAAAAACAAATCTCCAGAAATTTCTAAACATCCCCAAGAAACAAAAATCTGCATATATAGGATATTATGTCATTACAGTGTTTATTGGAATGAGAGTAGCCATTTTTTTAAGCAAACACTTAAAGCAAATTTTCATTTTCTAATATAGTAGCGAATGCATTCTTTGAATCACAAAGATAATTTTTTGGAATATAGTCTTGCCTAGATTTGGTGGTATGGCCAGAACTGAGAACACTGCTTTTTGAGAGTTATGCTATATTTTATGTCATTCCATTTCGGTTGCCACGTTATTCTTGGCTTAGACAGAATCTAAGAATTTTAGCAGGCTTTCAGCTAATTACAATCATTTTCTCCTAGAATAATTTCTAGGAATTGTATCTGAATTTTATGTTCTCATAGAGGCTTTCTCTGTCTCAGTCCTCTTGATGGCTAAATCAGTTTCATATGTAAATTTCTTTCTCCTGTCAAGCATTTGCAAACAGGTCTCCAGACCTGCATAAACAAATGAGTATTTTCTGAGGTACCTTGACCTAAATTGGATAGAAACCAAGTTTTGGGCAAAAATGAAAGAAATCATTTCAGCTGTTTTTGTCAAGACTGGTATTTTTCAAGCATGTTAATTTGCGAACTCTTTAATTTTCTCTGGCATATTCAAGGAGAAAAGGAAAGGGCTGTCCCTATCTATTGATGCAAACCTGCAATTTATGGGGTGGAGAAGGACAAGAATGGTTCCAGAGAAATGTCTGGAATAAAGAAAGGACAGAGAGAGATTGCCCTGTGTATAGCCAGAGAGACTATAAAAGATGATGAGAGAAAACAAAATGAAAACTTAGTTACATCAGATAATAACAAAAGATGATTTTCTTCATTCTTTTTTTAACAAATATTGCACTGACTAAAATATTTAAGGGAAAGTCTCTTTATTAAAAATATTCCAAGGATATAACCAAACCCCAAACTACCTGCTATCCTGTCAATTCCAATCCATTGTGATCCTCCATTGGGTTTCCAACACTGTCCATTTTATCGGGAGAAGACTGCTCTATTTTTCTCTTGGAGAGAAGCTAGCGACTACTCTATTTTTCTCTTGGAGAGAAGCTAGCGAGTTCAAATTGTTGATCTTGTGGTTAGCAGCCTAGCATTGATGAGTTTCATTTTTAAGAAACAAGGTGAAGGCGTCTGGATGGCAAAAAGTGAAATTGATGGTTGGTTCAGGAGTAGAACCAATTTCTGGATGGCAAAAAAATGAAATTGATGGTTGGTTCATGAGTGGAACCAATTTTTTACCCAGTTGCTGTTGTTAGGTGCCATGGAGTTGACAACAACTCAGAGTGACCTGGTGAAGAGCAGATCAGAATTTTGTCCTGTCCTGCACCTTGGATAACCTTTTAGAGTGTCCGTATCGATCCATTTCCTTGAAGATCCTCTGCTCTTTCACTGACCCTCCACCTTCACCAGCATATTGACTTTTTTCCATGGAGTAGTTTCTGCTGCAGCAAGTGCTTCAGGTCCTCCTCAGTTTCAGCAAGCAGGGTTGTATCATCTGCATAATGCAGATTGTTGATAGATCTCCCAGCAATCTTGACCCCACATTCCTCCTCATAGAGCCCAGCCTCCTGGATAATCTGTTCTGCATACAGGTTGAAAAGGTATGGAGATAGAATACATCTCTGGTATACGCCCTTCGCAATTTTGAACCATGCAGTGTTTCCTTGCTCTGTTCTGATGACTGCCTCTTGGTCCAACTATAGATTTCTCCTTAGCACAATCAGGTGTTCTGGGATTCCCATTCTTCAGGACTGCAACCTCCAATATGGATTGAGGCTCAATGTCAACAAGACAAAGATTCTCCCCACTGGGCCAATTGGCAACATCAGGATGGATGGTGAAGAGATTAAAATTGTTCACAGCTTTAGTTTGCTTGGCTCCAAAGTCAATACTCTTGGCACCAGTAGCCAGAAAATTAAAAGACATATTGCCATGGGAAATCTGCTGTTAGGGGCCTCTCCAAAGTACTGAAGAGCAATGGTGTCTCTCTGGAGACTAAGGTGCATTTGATACAGGCCATGGTCTTTGCTATCACTTGTTATGCATCAGAGAGCTGGAGAGTGACTAAGGAGGATAGAAGGAGAATTGATACCTTTGAGCTGTGGTGCTGGAGAAGAGTATTGAGGGTACCATGGACTGCTAGGAAAACAAACAGATTCATCCTGGAAAGGGTTAAACTGGGCAGCTCCCTGGAGGCAAGGATTCTGAGGCTTCATCTAACATACTTTGGACATGTTGTAAGGAGGGACCGGTCCTTGGAGAAGGACATCATCCTTGGGAGGGTGGAGAGACAGCGCAGGAGGTGAAGGCCCTCTATGAGGTGGATTGATTCAGTGACTGGGGTAATTGGGATGGGTGTGTCGGAGGCAGTGCGATTGGACAGAACAGAGTTTAGGGCTGTTGTACATAGGGTCACTATGAGTCACAACTCAATGGCACATAACAACAAGAAGTTCCTCCTGACCACATGCCCAAAGTCTCTAGAATGAAGTTTACTATCCTGCACTCCAAGGGACACCTACCTGGTTGCACTCATTCCAAGACAGATGTGTTGGTTATTTTCCTTTTGGCAGTCCATGGTAGAGTCAACATTGTTTGCAAAACAAGAATTTAAAGCTCTACTTTCTTTGTGTGTCCAACTTTCAGATGCATAGGAAACAACTGAAAAAGAACCATACCTTGGATCAAGCT